CAATCAAACTTTGAACACAAATTCAGGCTGTATGCCTCCTCTATTCGGGAAGCGACATCTCTGATTGGATCGTTCAATAGAGAGCGCCACGAGCTTTCGATGTGTGTAAGTATGAGCACGAATTTCACAAATGCGGGTCATTTACGCCGAGTCGAAGACAGTATACAAACTTCCATACAAAAAATACATCACATATGACACACATTCAAAAATGTCAGCGACCTGACGAACGAGAGAGAAGCCGCCCATCGGGAGTCCTGCTCCAAAGCAACCAGGGTTTTCCCACCCGGCTGCCTAAAGGCACAAGTCAGTTGCTGGCTGCAAAGTACCAGTTCCACGTGTCTACTATACGTGCCTCGACGCGCTAGCCCGAGAGCTCGAGTGCATTACCCAAAGCGACAGTGAGGCGACGGACGATATCATCTCTGCAATGGCCGAATTAGGAATAGAACCAACAGACATGAACAATGTTGAATAAGTACATACAAGACTGTGCGGTGTGGGTATTGCGTGAAGGTGTAAAGGCTCGGTAGAGTGATCTCGAGGTAAACCCCCCTCCTGAATCGGATGGCACTGTCAGAATGTGGCCAATTCCGACATTTGATTGGTTCTGAGACAAGTATATTGAAGTATTTGATTGGACAGTTGTATTGGTACACCTTGTGAAATTTATACCGGGTATAATGTATTGAAGTGACTGTATTTTTATTCGAGGAGGAGTACGTCGTTTTTCTGAGCGAGAATTTATTGTGCGACAGACGGAGATAGGTGATCCCGCAACGTTTGACCCTGTTATAAATTTATATCCCGTGAAAAATAATTGATACCAAGGTCTTGGGGGCCTTTTAACAAGGAAGCATCGGCCTTCCTGCAGTTGCTATCCTAGAAAAGATTATATTTGGACAAAAGTGCAAACGTAGCAGGATCACTGTAATTTGTATGCGTTGTGAAAGGATACCCTTGGAAATGTATTCAACACATTTTTTCAGCCGTTTCCTGTGAAATTGATACAAAATAGATCGAATTTTCTATCTGAACATTTCAAATTATGAAAGAAATTCTGGTGTCATTTTCCACCAAAATTGTGAAAATCAGTAAAGTTGCATCGTTGGTTGGACAGGATCAACATTCGCTTCAAATGTACCACAACTAATCTCACACGACTGAACTGTCCAAGTGAAGTTTGAAGGTCATTCAACGCGATGACGCAGTTCAGCATGGTCAGCCATGGCCAACATCTTCGTGCACGATTCGATTCGCGTCGGACGAAAAACGAGCGCACTGTTGCCAGCCCTGACGAATTCGCCTAGACTCGACGTGCTTGAAACGTCGGGGGCAATCGGTTGTCCAGAGTCCCACCATCCCAAAGTCGCAACCCCGCGCCTGTGGGGGGGATCCGTCCACTGTTTTCAATTCATGTCCCAGTCTTTGGCGCGGGTCTTTCAAGCGAAATTGGTACGCCTGCAGACAAGGTTGAGTCGAGCAAAACGGCGTCGACACCCCCTCCGTCCGAGTGCCTGTCGTTCGTCTTTTCCACCGGACTTGTGCAAGAGGAGGGCCATTGCGTTTTTCGGTTCCGCACCCGAGTGGCAGCGATTGGTTCCAAAACGCATTACCACCGCCACAACGCTGCTCCAGAATCACGGGCATCCTTTCACCAGCGACAGCCCTCCATCGAATCTTGTGACCAGGGGGTGGCACGCTGTGCCTGCCGACCACCAATCCGTCCTCATTCGCTCGTGCCACTAGGTCGTAACACCACGGCTGACATGCACGTCGTGGTCACGGGATACAATCGAAACTTCCCACAATAAAGTCTCGCCTTGGTAGTTCTCGCCCTGTGAGAAAAACCGAGACATTTCAACCGGCAAACAGATGGAACGATGCCGTATACGCCGGCATGGTACAGTCCCGCCATCGCCGTGTGCCCCCTCCATATTTCTACCACGGCAATCTTGGCCCTTGCTACGACGCCTCGATCGACCTCTCTTGCTGCCCCGTTGTTATTGCGTTGGACGTCGGCGGCAAGGCATAACATGTTTCAGCCCCCCACCGACATGTCTCCACTGCTCTGGCAGTGTCGCGGGCCAAGGTGCCTTCTGATCATGGCGTCAATGAAATACTCGAAATTTTATTCTCCATACAAAGACCAAGAGAAGTGAACATAAAAATGTCCCACGGTTCACAGGCCGCGCCACTTGGTGAAGGCAATTTCAAGTTGTCCCACTGGGTGCTCCTGACAACGATAGCGCTCGCCACGAGCCCGATCGCCCATTTCGCAATTTGCCATTCACAACGAGGCCCGCATGAGCACGAAGGAGTACTTCAAGACGTGGTACGTCAAGAACAAAGAGAAAGTGATTGCACGTGTCAAGGTGTACAATGCAATGCACCGCGAAGCCCAAAACGCGCGCATGCAGCAGTGGCGCGAGAAGAACCGCGCTAAAATCGCCGCCTACCGCGAGATCAACCGCGAACAACGCCGCCAGTACAAGCGCGACCACTACCGCCGCACCAAAGAAAAGCGCCTCCGGGAGGCCGCGGCGAAACACGCCAGTGCCGTCGACGCGGTCGGGACGTGCCCACGCATGCAGCTTTCGTTTCTCTTGCATCCAATTCCACCGGCGACATCATCGCAACCGTTTGAAATCGCGACCATGCTGACCGCCCCAGCAACCGACTACGACGTGTACGTTGAAGTGTAGGCGCCAAGTTGGGTCGATAACTTGTAACTTAATTTTGAACTTTCCACCATTGCGTTTGCGCCCGCGTGCCTCCACGACACCACGGTCACCCGTTGAAATCTTGAAACGAGAGGATCGAGGGTTCTGTTTGCGAGGGGCGTCACCAAAACACTAGACCGTAAAGTCGCAGCGACTGAAGTACGCTGGTGGGTATGCCTGGAAGCGCGCCCGTGCATTCGAATTTGTTCAATGTGTTGGGCCGGTGGGCCAGACCTTCCTGCATGTCGCAGGTTCGCTCGAGCGAGCTGCAGACGCCCTCGCCGTGGACTAACGCATACTCGAGAGCCCTGGCGTTTTTTCCAGGGCGAGCTCGCCGTGAGGCCTCGAGCCAGCCAGCCATCAGTCCCCTCTCTTGCTCATACGCGACCGCATACATGGGGGCGCCGCGTTCTGCCCAACACTGGGCGAGATGGGTGTTGTGACAAGTCCGCCGACACTGAAGCGCCGCCCCGCGCCAACTAAAAATGGCATGTCCTTGCCAACCAAATGGACGATGGGGAAAGAGCGTGCACAACGTGATGTTGAGTGGCCAACGACGATTTTAGTCCAACACGCGGCAAGTCGACAACGAATATGCATTCTGGCAAGAAATATTGGAGGCACTTCGTTCGTTCGTGAAGCCGCAGCAGCCACGTACTCGTAGTATTCCATGCACATGACGTTTGCTGCACAAGGGCTGCACCCCTGCGCTCAAGCTCCCAGCCCCCGTTTACGGCCACAACATAGCGGTATCCACGACGCTAGCTCACAGCCATGTAAAGGCATGTGATGGATCCATGTCGCGACGAAAGGTCCATTGGCCCAGCCGCCCAGTAGTCGTAACGAGCTTCGCGAGCATCGTGGCTATGTCCAACTTGCTAGAACCTACGTTACGATGCCGCGGCGCTCGCCTGGCTAGCAAAGTGTGCCTTCGTTCAAGGAGCTGCTGCAGAAGGGCTGAACGGGTCGAGTACATTCACACACAGGTCCCGAGCAAAGCACTTGCGGGTTACAAATAAGCATGGCGGTGGACTTGTTTAGCTTGGGAGGGTGCCATCAAGTCTACCACGTCGCTCATGGCAGCGCGGTGGGAACGAGTAAATATTCATGTAGCTTTATCAGCATTCAGAATGAACGACAATTGCATGTGCCGATGGACGGTCAGTGCACAGGCAGGATCCGCGGGGGACGTGGCGACAACGCCGGCGAGGAGTTGGAGCAGGCCCTGCGACGACGGCGAGTCGTGCTGTTGGAGGCGAACGGCGAGTTCGAGCTTCTTGTGTTTTTCTTTGTACGCCTTGTCATACGCATGGCGCTTGTCTTTGTTCTTTGCCCGATACGCCCGCGCGCGCTCGAGGATTTTGTCGCGATTCGCCTCAAAGTACCGTTTGTGGCGCTCCTTTTCTTTTTCACGGTTGTTCTCGCGGTACTTTCGCTTGTGTTGGAGCACGCGGTCACGGTTCTTCGCGTGCCACTCGCGGACGTGGTCCTTGTTCCTGGCGTTGTACGCCTTGCGCTTGAGTTTGTTCTTTTCGTACCATTCCTTGTAGTACTGTCGTTTGGACGAGACATCCCCGGCGTCCGTCATGGCTCTTCCGCGGGGGCTCGTCGCGGTGGCGGGGGTCATGTCGTTGACAACGGTGTGCATGGCTGAGGGCAAGTCCAAGAGTGCGTATCGTTACGCTCGACCGATTGCAGTTGTCCGCTGACTAGAGCCGTGGGGCCATGGTGCCTGTGGCCAATCGCGACGCCGTGCTATGGATACATCCACGGAAGTTCCCGTGCGAATCGAGTGGATAAACAGGCGCGTCGTGCCTGGCAATTGGCTCGAGGCACGGGGCATGGCACACCGCGGACGGCGGAGCCACAGCCCAAGCAGCCACTGACAGACGACGTGGGGTCTCATTGGCAGCGCCCAGGGGGGTCCTTGCCATCGAGTCGCCTCGACAGCGCGTCAAGCGCAGGTCACTCATGTGTGCGTGCTCTCGTCGCTTTCTTTGTCGAGGGTAGAGATCGAGCACCCTACGACGCCATTCACCGGTTGTCGTCCATGCATTGAGACCGCGGTTGGGACTTTGTGTCGGTGCCCACCGTCGTCGACATCGGGGGCAATTCGTCGCGGTTGGTGGATCGAGGTCGCTGGCAAATCAACAACGCCATGGGACATGTTTTCACCCGTCTTGTGTTTGGCTCCAAGGTGCCCGCCAAGCGAGCTGCGGACGTCGCGGCTCGCTTGGCGTTCGGGGTGGCTTTTCACCAAGTAGCAGTGCTGCCAACTCCAAGGGCATCCGAAACTGAATTCAATTGGTCCAAATATTTGTTCGTTCTTGACTTTGATTGGTCATATTTTTTTAATAATGCCATTTATAGGACATTTAGAATCTTATTTAATGCGTTATTATATACTACGTAGTAGTTCCACCACGTCATGAGGTGAGCTAATGATTGGTTCATTTTCGCACCTCGACGACTTGCATTGGGCACAACGATACGCATCGAGACACTTGTTCGGGCCAACGTCAATGATGGCATGGTGTCGATTCGAATCGGAACCATGCGCTGTGTTTGGTTTCATCGCGAGGTTGCTTCTGCTGCGGCGGCGACCCACACCAGCATGTGACTGCGTTCCTGAGCTACCATACAGCCGCGTTCGGATGGCGGCTGGTCCAACTTGCGTCTCCATCAACCTGCAGCAGTCCAACCATCCACACACTACACCACCGCCGCGATGCAACTCGAGATCATGCGCATGCAAGGCAGAAATGCTAAGCATCGCCCGTATACCGCCCTCTGCCCTGGAACGAGCGTATGAGCCGTGGGCATGCATGGGCTATCGAACGACTGCCCACCCAGTTGGTCGTCAGTGCATTGATTGAAGCGATGTCGCAAGGGAAGCTCTCGGCCTCGAAGCTTTCCAACTCCCGTTCGATGAACGTGCGCGTGTGAGCGCACGTTGAGCGCTCACTCAGTGGCTTACCACGTCCGATTTCAGGCGGCGACGCCTGCAAGTGCGAACAATGCGTCACATGAATGTGGCCGGCCGTACGATATAGCGTCGAAGCGGTTGATTGGGCCAGACGCATCGTTTTGCACACGGTGCAATGAACACACGAGCAAATGCTGCCGTCGTCAAGCGCAGTTCCGTGGTCAAGACGGCCAGCGCGCTTGGATTCTACGACAATGGTCGTGGTGGAATGGATGGCCCTCGCGTCGCTGGCGAGCCCCCGGTACAGCGAGAACGCCGTCAGGTGAGCGATCCATTCGGTCGAGTGATGGGCGCTGCCGTGGGATATATCTATGCCGACCCTGGTAAGAATGGCTTGACGAATTGTCCAACAGCCATGACTCTGGCGTGGGGATGCCATAAAACAGGAGGACTCCAAAGACACATCGGACAACCAGTAGTCGCCGCCCTACCCATACGACGCGGTATTCAACTCGAGCATGTTGAGCCCTTCAACGTGCCCTCCAATGCGAAGAAGGCAGGTAGAGCAATCGTGCCACATCGAGCATCATCCCCGCGATGTATAGCTTCCCCGCTACGTGGCAACTGTGAGTCACATAAATCGACAGCGCATGGATCGCAGTTCAGGCTGTGATGCGATGGATCGCTTCGTTGTAAATGCACTTCCCCAGTCATACGTCGACGCATTCGACCATTTGCATTGCTTCCTAATCCATTGCTCCGTTCGAGAAGTCATCAAGCCCTTTGCGCTTGACGAGGTTTGGACTTTGTCCTTTGGACCATTGCCGCTGGTTCCAACTTCAGTTGCGAATGGTGGGCCCCGTATTGCTTGGATCAAACGCCGCCCGACAGTCAGTGTGGGCAATGGCCGATCGCCAGTCCAAGTCGACCCACCGTTGTGTGCGTACACATTTCATGTATTGGGAACGGCGCCAAGGCCCTGGATGATGGCTCGGCGACGTGTGTTGACTTTGGTGACAAACACGCCCGGGGTACACGCGAATTGAAACCTCGCCTGAACGACATTGCTGTCGTAGCTCGTGGACAACAGACCCTACCAGCAAGTCGATGGATTCGTTCGTAGTTGTGTGCAGGTTATGGCATGAGGTCAATGAGAATTGAAAGCCCGTGCGGTTGTGCGTGGGCCACGTCGTTGGTGGGGCCAACATCAAGACTTATGCACCCGAGCGAACACGCGAGTTTCCCGACGCTTGCGCTGACAACGGCTCGACATGGTTCGAGCGAAGCGCGGTACTGTCGTGACCATGCGTGGCGGAAAGCTTGTGCACGGAGCGATCATGTCGGTCCAAGTGCAAAGCGCGCAGGATGGTTGTCAAGCGGAAGTGAAAGGACAACTTGAGTCCAACGGTCGATCCAATTTCTCGAGGACGACTCGATATTGGGGGGACATGCTCTGGCACTCCATATGGCGACAACCTGCTGTGAAAAACGATCGAGGGAACCGCGCACACCGCGAGAGACGCCGTGCCCTGTGACACGAGGTTTGCCGTGTGTAGCCATCGTTTCGCACCGCTTGCCCTCAGGCATGTACCTGCAGACGTATTCCCCGCAGACGTATTGAAAGCGTCGATTCCTATCGGGGGCAGGGGGGCGACATCCTGTTTCCCTGGATCCGCCCTGGTTGCAAGAGTTGCAAAGGAGGAGATTGCGTCCGTGACGACGCCGCGCCACTCCATGATTGACAAGAGACAACATCTCGAGCAACGCGAGGCTCCCTTGCAAGTCGGATGTTGATAATCGCTGGCTCGTCCAGGATGCTCCCGTGCCATGCCATCGCCGGCGACTGGTGTTTTTGCATGCACTTCATCGAGCAAGGGATGTTGAGTGTATAATACTCTTCGAAGCTCGCTCGATGACTTGTCCGCTCTCCAACGCGCGCTGCTATTTGGACATGCATACCTTCCGCATGATCTCGCGCTGACGAGCGACGGGGGTTTCCTGTACGCCACCAGGAAGGCCCTGCGTCAAAACTGCACGGTGGAGTAGATTTGGGTTCGTTCCACGGCAAAGATGACTCGTGGGGGCATCGCCCATGAGATTCTCTGCTCGTTGTGCAGGGAAAGGGGGGATTCGCATGTGCTATAACGAGTGCTGCGCAGCGCAGCAGCTGTGGCTGGCGACCCAAGGACTGGCTGCACACTGTGATAAAGACCAAGTCCATTTGACGCAGCCTGTACACTTCATTCCGCACCACAGATTGTCTTTGTGAATGGAGGGTTCAAGCGCTTCCTGCGGCATCGCATTGCCCATATCTGCGTCAACGATCGAAACGATTCGTGAACTGGATGAGTTCCCGCCAGCCCCCGCGCACATATAACACCCAGCCTTTGAAATACCCACCCAGCCACACCCACTTCCACCAGCCCTTTCAACGAGGCTGTAAATGCCTCATGGCCAGGGCCGGAGCTTCAAATATCCACAACAATCCGCAGCTCAAGTATATATGCCCTCCTTGCTGTGGCAAACTGCCTCGCCAACGTCGCGACGACTTCGTCCAAACGACTCCGCCATCAATTCGGGAAAATGCCATCTTGCGCAAAACGCGTAGCCCTCGCACGACGCACTGGGAACGACGGCGAAGGCGCAGGAGCGAGGGCTCGTTTTTGTAGACCGCATCGAGTGGCTTGGACCACGAATCTCTCGTACAAGAGCAAAATGTATATGGCAGTCTTGAGAACACGCGACCTGTCCAAGCGGTTCTGGCTCTGCCAAACTTTATTTTGCTCAGAAATCCATCGGCTCGTCGGCAGCGCCGAACCTTCTTTGCTCATTCACCCCAGCCCCGACGGACCCGCGCCGACGGTCAGCTCCAGAGGCTGGTTGGCATGCAAAGGAATGAAAGTGCATGCTGTGGCATCGAGTCAGGGGTACGTCCGTCGTGGAGCTGCGCTCGAAGTCTCAATGCACAACAAGGCATCAACTTTCCCGTGCCCCCTGGCACCAGCTACCGAGAACCCTCGCACTCAAGACGAACCACTCGTCATCCACTGCCCTGAACTCAACCATGCTCCGCATCACATCCACCGTGCGTGTACGGCACGTACCGAGCATGTGATCGTGACAATTCGTCAGAGGAGCATCACCAGATTCCACGCGCCTGCATAGGGCACATGGGAGGAGGGCCCGTACAAGCACGGCCGAAGGCCGCCTGTCTCCCGCTGCGCCGGGCGGCATCGACAACTCCATACGTTTGCCTCGCCAGCCCACACACAAACGCTGGTCGCGAGGTGGGGTGAGGCTTCATATCTCATCTTGATAACACTTGTCTTCCCCACCGCGTGGCTGGTCTTTCGCCACCGCCGCCCGTATCGGTAGCCGAAGCGACGGTTGCATGGTAGGTGCCATCACCCAAGCACAACCTTCGCAATGCTCCGTCCATGGCATACTAGGGTGACTCGCAGCTTGCGCATTGCGCGAGCGCCGTACGAGGCATGCGGGGTACCGCCAGCCGCGGGAAGTCCGCGCTCGCGACGGCTGCATCCTCGGGAAAGGTATGCAAAAAGATACGCACTCAGATCAAGGTCCTGTTTCGTACTGGATGACTCGGAGGTGGTGAAATGAAACCCACCCCGCCGCCCAACGCATCACCCATTGCGAGTCGTCGCGATGATAGGGACTAGCCCCACGACCTGGCGGTCCGCCCCCTAGGCCAGCCGCCACACGGTGCCGCACCAACGCCCGTGCAATCCAGTTGCCCCAAGCGCCTCGGCGCTCCACGGCTCAACACACACGGTCGCCTGGCCTGTCTGTGTGTGTTGGCCCGCTTGGCTGTCCCTTGCCGTCCTGTTCTTCGATGTTCCTCCTGCGAACTTTCCCCTGTTGATGGATGATCGTGTTCCAGAGCTTGCATGTTGGATCGAACGCCAACCCATCATTACGAAACTAGCCATGGCAGCGTCACAAGTGCTCCCATGTACCACGTCTCCGATGTCCCCACCCTGCCTTCCTCTCGCCGTCGAGCCAGCATCGGCACGCGACGGCGGTGTATTCAAGTGTGCGGCACACAAGCACCGCACGCAATGCCTCGTCCTTGGCTGCTGCCGGTCCTTTCCCGCCACCAGCAGTAGCGCCGGACCGCCCCACTTACGTCACAAACACGTCCAAACAAACAAGCAGCAGCACCGGACCAAACGTCTCTGTATTGTGGAGGGGTGCATCAAGCAGGCGCATGCACGGCAAAAGTGTGTGCGCCACGGCGGCGGAAAGCTGTGCAAAGTCGACGAGTGCTCCCAACACGCTCGCGCGAATGGCGTGTGCTACCGCCATCGATCCTTGTCGCACGTGGCCTCGGATCGTGGCCGTCGCAGCAGGAGTAGCAGCCAAACCGAAGCTACGCTTGACGATTTCAACATGTCGCAGCACTTGGACTTGCCCAACTTGGACGTATCAGAGGACCTCGGCGGCGACGACTCGGCCCTCGATCGGATTCTCGGGGAACTCACGCCTCTCGACGATTGCTTCTTTCCGTCCGTGCTCAAATTGGAACAATTCGACCAGCCGCCGCAAACGACGTCGTGTGCACCATTCGACCAGGCGCACATTTCTCGGACGTTGCCCTGCATTTTGACGTCCCCGCACGGACAAGACTGGTCCGATTTCGCAAGCGTGCTGCCAGCTCCGTCGCCGTACGCGGCAACCCCGCCAGGGCTCATGGCACGCTCGACAGATGACTCGCTGCTACGGATAGTCAACACAGTCGCGATGCTCAACACGATGCACATGGTGTCGCAGCTCATGCGACAGCAATAGATCCAGTTGCGTGACAGGTCAGGATTTGATGTTGTCGTAAAAAATCGCTGTCGTTGTGATGTACTCAACCTGGGACTTGCCGTTCGCGATGGTGGTCTATTTGTCTCGCACGAAACAAAGAGTCCCTTCATCTCGGAGGCATCCTTCCTTCTGGGGTGTCCTCTCTAGCGACACATGCCATGAGCTGCGGACAACCATGCTAATGGTGGCAAGATCTACTCTTCGTACCTGACTCTGTACTACAAATGATCTCATAGACATGAAGCGCCATTGGTTTAGTGGTAAAATATCTCGTTGCCATCGAGATGCCCCGGGTTCGATTCCCGGATGGCGCAATATCTTTTTCTTTCTTTTAAACTTGGCTACGAGCAAGTCTGTGCCTAGGAAGGGTACGAACAAGGGCCGGTCGAAGGCGACGAGTATCGTTATGATGGCTCTCTTGCGCGAAGCTTCAGGTTGTTATGGGCGCAATCAGGGAGGCCTATCGCAGCATCCGTCCATCTGCACGGACATGCAACGGTGTTGGATGGTTTTGACCACGTGGTTTGTATGTTGGAGCATGCAGTACAGTCGGCGTTTTCACTTGCGAGTCGATTACGTGCATCCATGTTCATCGGTGTACTTTTCCTGGTGCTCGTGACGTGGTCGTATACCTGGAGTGTCAACTCAACATTCGACGAGGTTGCAGCAACGGAGCTTGCATGGCCTCGGTCAAGTCACGACGAGTAGATAAATTCGTGCATGGAGTCAGAACACCCTGTTCTGTCGAGAACATCCCCACTGCCCTGTCCATCAGGTCGCAGGATGGTCCTGCAACAGTA